CATATACATATACATATACATATACATATACATATACATATACATATGAAGTTTCAGCTAGAGTTCTGCTATTGATAACAGGAAAAGTGAAGCTTGCTCTTAAGTCAAAGATTTTTAAAAGTGAGTCAAGTTCATTTGTTGCCACTTGGGGGTTCTTAGATTTACCTCGTCATTGACCCTGCCAGCACACTGAGAAGTTGACTACTTGGCATTTTTCCAGCATGGAGCGACAAGTGCTTTCACTGACATACAGCCCACATCTTTTTTTGATTAAATCGTGTAGCTTTCACAAAGCAATATAGTGATTTTATAGTGCAATATATTATACCACCTTCCCACTGTCACTGATATAGTAAGTTATGGAGGTTATAAATATTGTTTATAGGCGTAGAATCGTCCATTCCTCACAGACAGAGTGTCTCTACTAATTAAGCTTGGCAGTTCCATTTCAAAAGCTCTTAGGGTCTGTTTGACATAGAAATGTGTCATATTGTTTTGCATGAGCTGCTACCTTCTAAACAGAAGTGTTAGTGTTTAGTAAAATTGTGAGGCTATCTCCATATATTTTCTAAATACAAGAAGATGTGATAATAGGCAGAACTAAAGAGAGGGAGTATTTGGGATATTGGAAATAGAATTCAATTCCCTGGAATTCATAGGCTTTGTACACAAATTATGAACAGGATGATATACTTCAAAGTAAAGAGCATAATAATCCCTCTCTCTCTCTCTCTCTCTCTCTCTCTCTCTCTCTCTCTCTCTCTCTCACTCTCTCTCATATACACACATTAAATTACCTGTTAAAAGTTTTGTGATTTTTAGGTTTAGTAGGCCAGGAATTTTTCCCCCTTGAAAAGTACCTCAGAGACTTCATTGTCTATTATGATGTGCTTACATTATTGGCTTATGGCTGGTTCCCATTTGCTTATTTTGTTTATTTTAGTAAATTTGCTTTAATTAAAAAATATAGTGGACCATTGACATGGCGCTCAGAAAGTAAAGATGCTTGCCACCAGGCCTGATGAGCAATCTTTAGAAGCCATGTAATAGAAGAAAAGAACCAACTCCTGTATGTTGCCCTCGGTCTCTACACACAATCTATGAGAATGAGCATGCATACACATACACAGCAGATTCAATTTCTAACACTTTAACTTTGGGGTAATAAAACTAGTATGAAGGAAAAATTAGGGCTCTTAGAGAATGCATTGCCAACTTGAGAGATTCACATGACTTGAAAAATTTGTGTATTTGCTTGCAATAATGTAGGGCAGTGAAAACAGCCTCCCCATAAGTTTTTCTGTGGTGCACATCCCTCTCAAATGTGAAATCAGTGTGTGACTACTTCTCTCCCATTGAAGAACCTCTCTATTCATACCTGAACTGTAGGTGGTCACTTAATTTGTTTGATTTCTGTCCTGGACTTTTTCACTGAGCCTAGGTTGAGAAAGTTTGAAGATCTCTCTCCTGTCCCACTCATGTCCTTCATGTACATTTCTTCCTCTCTGCTCTCCTTCACATCTCAGGACCAAAAGATACTATATAAATTGAAAATAGCCCTCATATTAAAAGTTTCCAAAAGCTAGAATCCTTGCTTTTCACTCACAATCTGAAGAACCATTCACACTTTGTCTTTGTTTTCATATGTGCAAAATGGATATCGCTACACAAAATTTGAAGATTGTAGGAAGATTATGGAAGAAAGAAGCAGAACCATTTTTCATGAACAAAATGTTGTGAGTAATTAGTCTTACTGTGAGTATCATTGCCAGTGAGTAATACTAATGGATTACTATAAAGTAATCATTCTAGAAGCTCTGTGTCAGTGGTCTCCACTCAAGTCAAACACTGAAAACAAAGCCACAGTGTTATTTGTCACTCTCTGTCTATAATGTTCAAAGACTAGACAAATCCGTACCAAACTCTCTAGAATTTTCCATTCACAAGTACCATTACTAGTGTTTTTCAGCCACTGGAAAATGCCAATATAGGTCACACTTGAACAATGTCATTGACACAAGAAAACAACTGATGGCAAAGGCATGACTAGTGAACAGAATGAAAATGAATGTAATTCAACAATGACCTGAGCCATCTGGTATGAAAGGGGATGACCAACAACCATGCAAGGTCATTGACCAGACACCTCTACACATAGCTGTCAATATAGTCAGGCTAACTGTCCAAATAGATGTATATAGCTTCCTCTCTTACTCCAGAAGTGTGGTCTCTGGGTTTCTCTTATACACTTCACACTGTTGAAGATCACCTTTATTCATTCAGTCACTTACTCATTTAAAAAATAGCCCTCTATTGAGTCTTTACAATATGTCACCTCAGTAGTAGATACTGAGAATGATGTCATACCTTTTATGATCAATAGAAGTGATGGAATAACCAAGGACCAAGACACAAGAAATTTCTAACATGCCAAGAAAATAAATGATGGGAGTAAGATGCTAGATTTAAGTAGTATACTTGCAAAACACCACAAGGAGGTGGCGTTTAAGTTGGGAACAGGAACATAGCAGGAAATGAGATTATTGAGGGGAGATTGAGAAAGATATGGGTAGATTCGAGATGGGCAAGTTACTATATTCAAAGCCTTATTCAAGGAAAGGATGGATGTGTTTATGACAATTAAAGTACCTCTAGAGCTGCATGACATTGGGAAAGGAAGCTTGAAGTCACATCATGTAGCATATAAACACAATTAAAACTTGGGTTTCTACCTGAATTGTAGCAGGGAGCAATTATATGAGGGACTTAGAAGTTGGGAATGCTTCAATCTGCTTATACCTATAATACGTGTCATTGGTACCCAGTCATACCCTCTACTTATGTCCTTGTCCATACAAAAACCAGCTGTGGGACAGGGAACCAGGAAATCA